ATTGGAAGGGGACGGGGAAGCGAGGGAGTTGCGATCTACACCGCTAGATGCCACTAAATCCTACAAACTGGTCCTTTAACACTCAATTCTGATTTATTTCTCAGACTGTCACACTTTCATTTAAAAAAACAGGTCGCAAAAACCTCACATGTGCCTGCAGTGTGAACCTAGCCTATGATCTCTCCAAAGCCACCAGACTAAAGTACATATAAATGCTACTGTGGGTAATACTGTGACTATGGGTAAGAACCTCATACAACCCAACTTTAAAAAACCCAAACTATCCTTTTAAGACAGACATGAAAATTGGTGACCCTATCCTTTAACATTTCTAAAGCATGCAACAGTGTGGTAAATAGTTAGCTACTTTGCCGGCATTCATTAGTTTCCATTTATTTCATTGCATTATACACTGTGAAAACTAGCTTGATTGAAATGACAGATACATAAAACTTAAACGTGAAGAATTTAGTGGCATCTAGTGGTGTAGTTGCAGATTGTAACTCACTCGCCTCACCCTACCTTTCTAAGCACAAGGGAGAAAGTATGGTGGCTGTGAAATGCGCAAAAAACGTGAACGGCCCTAGATGGCCTGTAGAAACATGGCGGTTCAACATGGTAAAACATGATAAAAACAGCTCATTCTAAGGTAACAAAAACACAATGGTTCTTATTTTCAGGTGATTATACACTAATGAAAATATACTCATGAACATTAAATTATTATATGTAAAATGTCATACACTGGATCTTTAGGTAAGCTACATTAGATAAGACACCCTTCTTTATCCTTGTCAGAGTTGTCTTATCTCTGTGTGGATGTGCAGACTCATCTGAGCATTCACGTGCTGAAATCTGAGATATGAACAGTGTGCACTGACTTTGCTTTGCTGTGGAAAATTCAAACCCTGCAGACACAATAAGCATGGACGTGCTGAAAAGGAGAATGGGAATTTGACAGATCCATGCATTACTCGCACCGTGTGCTGTAATACTTTTTGACATAATGCCCTTTCTCTTTTCCCCCAAGTGTGCATGGGGGGTTTGAAAGGGAATGAGGATGAGGAGGAGGTGCTACAGCTAATGGAGCACACAGCTCAGGCCCAAGAAAGAAGCCACTTTGAAATAATGCCATGTAATAATAAATAAAGCAGCTCTCTGTGGCGACTGGCTGCCTCCACACTGTTTACTGCAGTTAACAGAGCGAGGGAGGAGGGAGTTGATTCAGCATCACAGGCAGCCACATTGATCTGTTTTGTCTGTCCGAAAGTCATTTTAAGTTGCTTTGAACAGGAGGCGTCTGGTGTCTAGGCAGGGCTAATAACAGGGTTCCATATGCCAGGAGTTAAACCTGTTCGGATTAGTCTCCAACCTGTCAGCCAATGAGAATCCCTCACTCACACTGAGGAGGTACTACACTATACTACAGTGGTTCCCAACCAGTAACCCCACAGCCTGTTGGATTCCCCCAACCATTTATCAACACCACTGGGGATATTTTTATTTCATTTAAATGTGTCAAAACTGCAGTAGGTCATTTTTATAAAAATAATGAATAAATAACTTTTTAGCTAATCATATTTGCCGAAACCTTCACTACATCCTGACAGTAGTACACAGGTTCCTCTGGCTCCTCCTAGTGCTCCTAATGGTATTTGCAAGAATCCACCGGACCTGAATGAAAACAACCAATTAGTCTGGAGTGGTGGACTACTGATAGGCCCGCTTTATAGGGGCATGCAGTCAACATGGCTTAAAACTTGTTTCTGATAAGTCAGGCTAGATGTTCAACATGAACATACAACTCAGGATAGAGCAGTCTGCATGGCTTTAACAATTGCATTACACTCTCTTTGTATATTGTCTCCTGAGTATCTCCTTTCTCTACATCCTGGAACACCCTCTCTCTCTCTCTCTCTCTCTCTCTCCCTCCCTCCCTCCCTCCCTCCCTAATGGCCTCATTGCCTTTCTTCCTTTTAAGAGCTTGTTATCACCGTGTCTCATTATCATCTCTCTCTGAGTCTCAGTTTAATTAAATTTAGTGGCTGCTTCATTGGCCCAACATGATGATTCCTTAAGGCGATAAAATAAACTACAGTCACTAAACCCAGCCGCAGCATGACTATTCATATCCCTCAGTGTGCGATGACAAGTCAACACATTCACATTGGTCCAACCAAGTTCCCCCAATAATATCATGACATTCACTCATTCATCAATCTTCAACTTTTAGTGGGAGGGAGGATTCATTAGTAGTTAACAGCATTTCTATCTTTCTATCCGCGCAGAGGGCCAGGATACATTGATTACTGTACCAAAGCGCAACTTTATCAGATGGGCGATCAAATATGATCCTATTTGATGAAGGAAATACACTCTGGTTTTCCCTTTGATGTCTTCCAGCTGCTCTCCGCCTCACCTCTGCTAACTGCTAATGTAGCTGCCGTTAGCGTGCTTAGCAGCTTCCCAGTGAACACAGCCTCTGAGACAGCCAGCCAGTTGCTAACTGTTAGCTAGTTAGCCTGTGCAACTAATGTCAGCTGACTCAGCCCTGGGATAATAAAATACGTAATGCCTGCAGCGCTCTATTGATACTTCATTTAGTTCGAAACAGAGAGCTGTTTGCTTCCACATATGTACGTATTTCCTGTAGAAACTGGCAGCTAGGGAGGGACTTGTAGCGGTAGCCAATAACCCTGAATGTGTGTTACACATATATATATTTATATACAAATACAGACATATATATACACATATAGCCTATATGATATGTATACACACATATATTTATTATGAGGGTCACAATAGATACCACTCTCAATTCTGTATACCAAATATGAAACAACTGGCAGTTGTTAACTTAGTTTAGCATACAGAGTAGAAACAGGAGGAAACAGCTAGCCAGCTTTCAAAATCCACCAACCAGCACATCTAAAGATATTAATATCAATAATTAACATGTTATATCTTCTTTGTTTCATCTGCTAACACCAGAATGTAAAAATGACATCATGTTGTCACCGCGAGGTTGCCAACGGAGACTTAATGAAGTCTTTACTGTACTGTATTATGTCATTTGTGTGAAGGAGAATCAGTTGTTATATCTGGATATTGACGTCAAGTTGTTGCTTTTTTAGGGCAGAATTTATTCAGGAGGAAAACCGAACCATATTGACAGATGGTGAGAGCTCTTTCCCCTTCAAGCTCCCGCAGCTTACAGTATCACAGCAATTTGTGGATATCAGAAAGAAAATGCTGGCGGTCAGACTGAGGTTAAGAATAAAACTGGCTCCATTTGGCACATTGAAATTACCACAGACTGAAGGAACGTGTCATCAGAGCGAGGGATGTGCTTTAAACAGAGAGCGGTACTATGAATCTCCCTCCATCCCTCACACACACACACACACACACACACTGCGAGTAACCATAGTGACAGAATGGGGTGTGAAACGGGGAAAGCAGATGCATGATGGGATGTCAGCAAGTGAGTCAGCGTTCTGCGTGGTTGAGGCTGGACCGTCACACACTTCCTGGTCGATGCTCCTTCCTCTTCCTGGCAATGGCGCCATTAGGGAGAGAGAGAGAGAGAGAGAGAGAGAGAGAGAGAGAGAGAGAGAGAGAGAGAGAGAGATTTAGGAATAGATAGATAAATCAGGTGTTAATATTTATACCTAACCCTTCAACAAGGAAAACTAATATTATTATTAGTATTAAGAGCTTTTCATTCCCTTTATTTCAGCTTTTTATCTTGCAAGGTTATATGTTTTCTCTTTTGTGTGTGTATGTCCACAGAAGGTATTGTTTTAGTGACAAATGAACAAATCCAATGTTATTTACTGTTCACGATCAAACCCTTACAACTGGTATTTCATTTGCAAGCTTTAGATATTTATATGCTGATCTATGCACTCTGTGTCATACCTTGCAATAATTATAGAGGTGGTTCATTTTGGTAGTTAAAGCTGCAGTTATTTTTTATAAAACTATTTTTCATACTTATATGCTGAAACTTTCACTATATCCTGACAGTAGAACATGAGACAGATAATCTGTAAAACAATCAGGTTCCTCTGGCTCCTCCTAGTGCTCCTAATGGGATTTACAAGAATCCACCAGGTCTGAAGGAAGACGCCTTGGAGGCTTAAAAACAGTTTATTATTAAGTCTAATTCCCAGCATCCAAAAGTGTCTGTACATGAGACAGCTATTTTCCTTGGCTCTGATTGGTTACTTTCGTTCAGGTGAATTCTTGCTAATACCATTAGGAGCACTAGGGGGAGCCAGAGGAACCTGATTTTTCACAGATTATCTGTCTCATGTACTACTTTATAACCTACTGCAGCTTTAAACGTACTACAGGGAGTTTATAATGGTTTATGAAACAGTCTCAGTTAAATAAAAATGCCTCTGCATGGATTACGTAAACAAACGACCATCAGAGAGAAGACTGGCTATTTCTATATAGTTATTCTGTATGCCTGCCATCGGGTTGGATGAAACGAGGCAGCAGAAACACTACTGCTTTTGTCCACAGGGGTTGCCAGAATCAATACAAAATGAAAATTGCTTGTGGGGGCTTTACAATTCAACATTGAGTATTCAATGGTGATTCTATTTCAAAATTAGGTATTGCAGTTGCTTATAAGAATAAAATCTTTATGCAACTATTTGCTAGTCATGACTATTATGGTGGAACCTCAGTCACCCTGCAGGAACTGAGACAATGTGGCTCAGATGAGAATCGATGAAAATCTGATCCCTGCTCCTTCGTGGGTTTTCCATCAGTTTTTCCATCAATAATCCTCTCAGCTACACTGCAGTAAGAGGACAAGATTTTATGGTTTAGCCGTCCAGCACCTGAGGCTAAACTGTAAACAAGACCTTTGTGTGTGTGTGTGTGTGTGTGTGTGTGTGTGTGTGTGTGTGTGTGTGTGATAACCCAATCATGTGTTGGTTTTTGTTCTTACATTGCTGCTCTGTCTCATTAACTCCATCCAGGACTCCATCAACAACAACTCTTTAGGCAAGAAGGACAGCTGGAAGGACTCCCGCTCCTCCTCCCCACACATTACAGGTAAGGACACGGAAAAAACAAAACAACAAAAACAGATAAAGAAACACACTTTTTTCATCACACAAATTTCATCTTTCTGCTTCAAATTCAAACCTTACACATTTAGAAAAGCAAAGACAGTGAGTTTATATTTTATTTAAAGGTCCAGTTTGTAGGGTTAAGTGGTGTTGTTGCAGATTGCAATTCCTTCATGTCACCCTCTCCTTCCAAGGAGAAACTACGGTGGCTGTGAAACTGGTGAAAAATGAGAATGCCCCTATCTAGAGTCAGTGGAGTTTTTTGTCTTCTCTGGGCAACTGTAGAAACATGACATTTCAACAGTGGTTCTAGATAGGGCTGTTCCCGTTTTTTTCGTGGTCACTGTAGTTTCTCTGTCCTGCTTGGAAGGGGAGGGTGAAGAGAATAAGTTGCAATCTGCAACTACACCGCTGGATGCCACTAAATCCTACACACTGGACCTGAGAGGCACAAGGGCGAAGTGAAGATGCACTAATACATTGCTGGAGTACACTCAAAAGACGGACAACAAGTACAGACAAAAACAAGTACAGCCAAACAAAGTACAATAATACAAAAATGTTTTCTGTACCTACAATATAGAAACAGCATAATACAACAACAACAATGCTGAAATTCTGTCTGCAAGATGCTAAAATAAAATGCTAAAATGACATGTGCAAATAAGATACTAAAATACAAATTGCAAATTGAGCGGGGTTATTGCACAAGAAACAAAGAAGTTTTTACTCCTTTTGCACTTGAACCTTGGTACTCTAAATCTGAGTTTCAAACTCAGGGTGCAGGAGCTGGTTTCTATAGTCAAGTGTAGGCCTTGTTAAGAAACTGCTGATCAAGGATAGCCATGAGGGGGGTCTGTTGGACACCTATCACCTTCCCAGTCATCTTAATAATGTGGTTCAGGAGGTTTTTATCTTTTTTGTTTAGGTTAACCGTACCATTTATACAATTTTAGAATGATAAAACAAGTACAAATGTTACAGACTGCATCCAAATTTCAAATTATTATTGATGACTGTTCCAAGATATTTATACTGTTTGACAAATTCACACAAATTGTGTTTTGGTAGTACATAAAAGTACAAGAGTGACAAGAGATCCTCAAGTGAAATCATGTGGATTTTTCGACTGTTCCTGTATCTCTTATCCAGGATAAACTGCTTACTGTTTGCCACTTTGATAATCCCTCTGTATACATCAGGTTGCCTAATACATAATCTGATACTTTTATTTGTTTGCGGGTGTTAAGGGGATCTAACACCACCGGCTATTCAAGCAAAACCGGAGGACAAAGTCCGGAACAGCACGCGCCGCCCCGCCCCAAAACCACCCATTGCCAATGGAGCCAACAGCAGGGCCAACACTCAGGCTGCTGCCACCACAGCAGACACACGCGCTCGACCACGGGACAGACAGGTGTCCGGGGCCACGCACACACAGTCCTCCAGCACACAGAGGAGTCAAAGGAGAGGAGGAGGAGGAGGAGGAGGAAGAGGGGGAGGAAGAGGAGTGACAGCGATGAGAGAGAGGAGCCTGGGGGACATCAGAGGAAAGGATGGAGTGACAGCAGTGAAGGAAGATAGAAGAGGAGGAAGACTGTGTGAGGAGTCCAAGGGGAAGGAGAAAGAGAGGAATGGACATCAGAGGCCAAGAGAAGCAAATGGACTGAAAAGCCGGGGGGCTGATGGGAAGGGAAAAGTAGGTGCTAAAGGGGGTAACAGAGGAGGGGGCCTCAAGCCAAATAACATGCTGTCTAACCACGAAGTTTATCTGACAGCTATGGTGGTCCCACGCACGCCTGTAGCACCAAGAAACCAGGACAAGACCCAAGACAAAGGTAATAAACCCAACCTTAGAGGACAGGGTGGTGGGTACTGTAACTTTTATTTTTGCCAAAAGGAGAGTAGTTTTTTGTGAGATGAGGGTTTTAACAATTTAAAACGCTTTGTAGAGCTGAGGGAAACTGCAGAGTTGGTGATAATTCTCTCTACGTTTAGCACCACCCACAGTTTGATCCATTGTTAACATTCTAAAATATTTGGTATACTTTTTAAATAAAATACTTTTTAATGTTCAGGCTTGGGGCAAGGTATCAAGTATTTTTAAGTCAAAAGGCTCAAAGTCCAAGTAAAGTCATTGCTGTTAAACTCGACTTGCAAGTCTCAAATTTTGTCAAGTCTTCAACTCTAACCCCAACTGGTCGAGGCAGACACCACCCACTTAGAGCTGGACTCTGTCCGAAGTTTCTGCCTCTTAAAAGGAAGTCTTTCCTTGCCAATGTCGCCAAGTGCTTGCTCATGGTGGGAACTGTTGGGTCTCTGTAAATAATGTTATACAGAGTTCGGTCTAGACCTGCTCTGTTTGAAAAGTGTCCTAGATTGTTATGAATTGGCGCTATACAAATAAAACTGAAAACACACCTCTGCTGAGTAGTACTGTGAAATTTCTGGGTGTAGTGGTGTTGCATAAGTGTAAGTGGTTCGCAAATACCTTTATTTGTGAGTTACTCCTCCTCCACATATCTACCTACTGTCCATATGTTGTGTTCTTAGGCCAAAACCATGACAGGACCCAGGACAACCCCCAAGTCCTCTCCCGGTCCAGCAGCGAGGGAGGGTCAAACAGAATGTCCCTCAGCTCAGACACAGAGGGCCCCCCACCAGGGCCCCTGCATCCCTCTCTATCCCACCGAACCAACCCTGACATCAGCGAAGAAGAGGGGGACGGAGATCCGACTCCGTGCATGAACGTCCAGAATGGTCCGACCCACTGCCTTGCAGATAACGAGAAAACAAAGATGGACAATATCAAGTCAGAGGTGGATGCAGGGGGACGAAAAGGTGACAATAACACTGAAGTGGATGGCACCAGCTCTGTCACTCAGGGAGATCGTGCGGCTGCTCAGACTTTACCAAAGAGTGAATCTACAGCAGGGTTGAATTATGACTCTGTTAAATACACTCTGGTGGTCGATGAACACGCTAAATTGGAGCTGGTCAGCCTCAAGGACTGCTTGCACGGTTACAACGAGCACAATGATGACAGCGATGCTGAGACGGTCTATCAGTCAGCCAATGAGGAGGAGGACCCAGAGTATGAGGAGGAGAGGAAGAGGAGAGAAGAAGCAAGGAAGCAAGGTAATGATACCAATTCATTTCCAACATGGCTGAGCACATTTCTGTCACAAAGCACTAGAGTTGGTAGCTAAAATTCTAAAAAAGAGATACTGATTGCTTTTTTTTTTTGCCATCATTGCTTTTCTAAAAACCTGCCAGTAGTAGGGTTAAAAAATGCAAACTTGGTGGATGGCCCAGAGGAAAGTTCATTAAATGAAAAGGTTTATCCCTTTGGAAGCATGAATGCTCTCAGTAAATTTCATGGTTATCTGCCTGTTCAAACATCTGGTGTACAAAGCTGACATTGTGTCTCGATGGTGGTGCTGGACCATAAGTCAGTAAATGTCCAGAATGAAAATGGTTCATCCTTTAGGAAGCATTAATATGAATATCAGTTTGTTAGGTTTATTTTCTTTTGTAGAAGAGTAACTTCTAAGAGGAAAGGTCAGGGGTCAAGGGGGTCACCAAAATCATTATATCCATAACAGACTTAACAGAAATCTTGGCAGTATATCCTGTTCTGAATTTGAGTTTCAGAACAGAAGAGAGTTGAAGAAAAAGGCAGATTTAGTGGCTGACAGATAATACAATCTTTAAAAAACAAAACTGTTCCAACAATGGCTGAAAAATGATATGTTCACATAGGATCCTATTGGTTATAACAAAAAGAGAAAATCTGTTTTCAGTGCTTTAAAAGCTATATAAAACAATATAAAAACATTATATTTTTTTATTCTTACACTCAGCTTTGCAATAAAATGCATTTACCTTTAAAATGAGTGACAAACCTCAATGTGTCATCATACACGATACAAATAGCGTAAAGACTTGGGAGGATGTATGTATGTCTACAATGAGAAACATTTATTTCTTAACATCCTTTTTCTTACAGTGACTTCAGCTTCATTTTTCAGTTTGTGGATCTAACGAAAGGATTTGAAAATGTATCTGTAATCTTCAGCGGCATAGTTGTGAATCACACTGCTTTTAAGAAAGCTGCTGTAATAGTGTAGTGCTTTAACTGTTTAATTTATTTGTCCTGTAAGGTGCAACTATTTATTCAAATATTTTAATATTTGTTAAAGTAGACCACCTAAAAGATCATGTTAGAGCCATCTCTTTCATTTGATCTTTCTGTAATCAGTTTAACCTTTCCTTGTTTTCTGCTCCAAGAGAGGAGGAAAGAGGAGGAAAAGAGAAGAAAGGAGGAGGAGGAGACGAAGAGGAGGAGGGAAGAGGATGTGAAGAGAAGGAGGGAGGAAGAGGTAAAGAGGAGGAGGGAGGTTGTGGCAAGGGTCTGCAAGCAGTCCAAGGTAACCACAACTTCAGAGGAAGATGAGTCTAACGGAGGAAGGGCTGGAGCTGCCAGAAGTAGGAAGTTCCTCAACCTGTTTGCCAACAACAGCAGCCATTACAGTGCCACCGGTTTGTGTATTCTACAAATATTCGACTGTCTGCATCACAGTTTATGTCTGCCATTTTATATTGTAACAAATAGAGAGGTAATATGAGCTACGATATATTTGCACTGATATACCAAAAATAACAGGCCAAAAAAGACATGATGTAGTCTTGACTTCCATTGTCAGGGAAATATAATTGAGGTCTTTTAGCTACGTGTTTGTACTGTGGAATGCTATCATTTCTAAACACAACCAATGGTCCAAATGAATTAATAATTAAACCACCAGGCCTTTTTGAATGGGTGAACAGATCCGAGACCAGAGATCTCTACATCTAATGAAAATAATGTGTTCAGATTATTGGTTATTGGTTATTGGTTATTGGTATTGTTGCTTTCAATCCATTCATTCTTAGGGTCCCAAAGCTGAAGGGGTGGGAGTAGCGACATGCATTTATGTCAGTTTCATATTTCCACCGAGAGACACCAAAGTCAAAAGTTTAGGCCCCTAACCCTAACCCTAAACGTCAACGTCAAAATGGGATTACTTTATTTTGTGTTTGCTTTTTTTAATTAAAGGATGAATATGAAACAAAATACAAACTGTGAGCTGTTGAGAATAACATCAATGCTGTATCATTCAGGCGCTGGGTCATTTGGTCTGTTCTCCTGTGTTTTGGATGGAGTGGAGAGACAGCAGAGCCACAGAGCTGTCTACAGGTTAACACATATGACATTACACAAACTCATTGTGGCATGTCCAAATAAACACATAAGACTAAACTCTGTAAATGTTTTTATTTTTAGGTTTGTCCCTCGTCATGCAGACGAGCTGTGCCTGGAAACAGATGACCCGGTGTTAATACTAAACCAGTCTGAGGACCTGTGGTGTCAGGGCTACAACATGAGGACTGGAGCTACCGGCATATTCCCTGCCTTCTATGCCGTCAGGGTTGCCAAAGATCTTAGCCAAGGTATATTGCAAATAACTGGACTGTATAAACAGAATATCACCACCATCAACAACATTTGATAATCTAATGTTTCTTTGTGCTCCTTTCTTCTCTCAGTCCAGAAAGATGGTTGGATAGAGCAGTTCCTGGTGCGATTCCTGGGTTCAGTTCAAGTCCCTATCCACAAAGGCAATGACGTACTGTGTGCTGCGATGCAGAAGGTACATACATACAGACACTGTACAACAGAACCACAGCATGAAGGCTGATTAAGAGTGATATATAACCTCCAGCTCCACATGGCGTAACAACCAAATAAAAGCTAATTGAGCCTTCCTAAGTCCCACCCCTTTTAGAACCTCGGTCAACTTCCTCCTTCCCTGTACTGAGATATGCTGTGCTAGACTCATCAGTGTTGACAAGATAACCACATTTTGAAAATGGTTCAAAGATAAAAGCGCCATATAGTTACATATTAAGTTAGATAATGTTAGCTAACTAGCTTACTAATCTAGTTAGTTTGGGTTTTATCGCACTTTCACTGTTTGGCTCAGTCACAGTGCTCTTATCATCTCATTTCCAGGCAAAAATCAAACCCACTGTATGCTAATTGCTAAATTCCAAGTGTCAAACTACAATGGTAAATGGACCTGTACTTGTATAGCACCTTTCTAGTCTTCTGACCACTCAAAGCACTTTTACACTACGTGCCACATTCACCCTTTCACACACATTCACTCAGTGATGGCAAAGCCCATCCAACAAAAATTCAGTATCTCAGTATCTTGCTCAAGGATACTTCAACATGTTGCACCAGGAGCTGGGGATCGAACCCACAACCTTCCAATTAAGGAATGACCCGCTCTGCCTCTGAGCCACAGCCGCCCATGGATTTCCTCTGCTCCCAAGAGGTCAAAACAAACAAGTGCAGCTGAGTATTAACAGTCAACCTGAAAAGGTCTTCATTTAGTTCCTTCCTTCCTTTAGTTTGATGACCTCTCGGTATCCAGACTTGGTATCCAACACAACAACAAGATTGCTGATGATCTATCTTTCTTGACTCTGATTGGTTGTTTTCGTTCAGGCCCAGTGGATTCTTGCAAATACCATTAGGAGGAGCCAGAGGAACCTGATTGTTTCACAGATTATGAAGTTACTTTCATACTGCAGCCTTAACTGACTGGAATGCAATGTGTTATGTAAGTGGGGAGCTGTACCTGCTGCAGCTAATCACTGTGTTTTCTCTAAAGCCTTCACTGGGTCCAAATCCTTATTAAGAACATTACAGCACAGAGCTGTTTAGCTTCAGGCTTAGTTTGTAAGGAGACACGTTCTCGCTTTTCACTCCATGTTCTACATTTTACTTTTCACTCTGTAGCAGGTTAACCTCACTTTGTGAAATAAATCGGATTTGATTGATTCCTGTAGTGACGATCATTGTTGGAACACAAGAAGGTGTTCTTAATACTGATGAGGTGAATATAAGCCTGGTCCATCCTGGAAAGTGTTGATTTTTATATTGGGAGCCATTTTAACAGATTAGAGCAGCCACACAGCCACGTGAGCCACATGTCTCAGCTGCAGCCACGCTTTAGAGTTCAAGTCTTGCCTATTTTTTCTGTGAGTAAAAATAAACAGTGAAATGATCTGTTCATAGTCATATTGACATTATACCAGCAACATATACACCTTTCACAACAGTTTTAATGTCTACATCTGTAGAATATGACTGTATCTGTTTGAGATTAAAAGCTCTCTTAAATTTCTGTGGACAGAATCCATTCATTTGTTAAAAAGGCTTTTATTGTATGCTATTTATCAAAGGCAAACTCAGTATAGAAAGAAAAGACCAGGCTGGCAGCAGCAGAAACGCTGTCTGTGTGAACCAGGTTCAACAAAATATAGAGGAAAATGCGCCAGGTCAAGAGTTGATGAAATGTTAAAACATGTTTCTATTTGGTGTTTATTGGCTACATATTTTTACAATTGGAGAATGTAAGAATCACTTTACACACATTTACAAGAATCCACCGGGCCTGAAACGGAAACAACCAATCAGAGCCAAGAAGGATAGTTGACAGTTGTTACTTATTTTCAGGGCGTCAAATACAGACACTTTGGGACTCTGGGAATGAGACTTAACAATCAACTATCTTCAAGCCTCCAACCCAAAGCGTCTTTAAATCAGAGCCTCTGATTGGTTGTTTTAGTTCAGGCCTGGTTGATTTTTGCAAATACCATTAGAAGCACTAGGAGGAGCCAGAGGAACCTGATTTTTTTACAGATTATCTGTCTCATGTACTACTTTTTTTAAAAAAATGACCTATTTCAGCTTTAAAAAAGTAACCATTATTAATTTCCATATCATTTTTTTCATTAAAGCTACAGGGAGCCAGTGGAGAGGGGATAACCCTGAGCTAGTCAGCATAAATCAGTAGATAACAAACAGGCAACCAGAATTACTAACTAAAATGAACACAGAAAGACTAATAGTCTAAATTAATTCATTGCACAAAGATGTCCAATTCACCACACATTTTAAGTAATTTCTTTCCAACTAAAAAAACATCATCAAACTAAACATCTTTAAACACAATTGATTCTAAGTCCTATCTACTCCACCTTCAGGTGTGGCCGTTCAGAACAAATACAAACACTTTTTTGATGACTGAAATGCAGTGTTGAAACTAATTCTGATGAGCATAAGCTGACCCTACTGGCCAGTGCTGGTGTGGATAGTCAAAGCTTCACAGGTATGTTTTGTCTGACTGACTTCCTGCTTATTATTTTACAGGTGGCCTGTAACAGACGGTTGGCAGGTCAGCCTCCCTCAGCCTGTGTGCTGGAGGTCAGTGTGAAGGGTGTGAAGATCAGTGTCCAGGACCAGTGTCAATCAGCTCACAGGGTACGTACTTCATCCATCATACCCTTTCTACTCCAGCTGTTGGAAAACCTGCAGCAGGTAAAATAATGATGTTGGAAAGGAGATCATTTGCTGTAGTAACTGTATGCGTACAGTACTATACAGTGGCAAACAGCAGTAACTACAAGTACTCAAAAAAGGTCGTGCTGATGTCAGCCTCTTTGCTTTGGATAAATGTTCTAGGATTTATCCTCACACACACCTACACAAACTTAATATTTCTGTCTCTGTCCCTCTTTGTCAGGGGGACCAGTGTTTCCATTTCTTCCAGCTGAAGAACATCTCTTTCTGTGGCTGTCATCCAAAACACAGCAAGTGAGTCGAACTACTTAAGGGATTATTTGATCTGATCAGTTCCCACACACAAAAGAAATGTATTTAGCTATATTAAATCTGCCTGTTTATTGGCATTGCATTTAGATGACAATTATGTAAACTTTGTGTACTACAGCAGGTTTATGTCAATGTACATAATTTGCACATAAACCTCCACACTGTAAGTTTCCTAAGAGTAATGATGATCGTTGTGCTGCAGGTATTTTGGTTTCATCACCAAACATCCTGACCAACAGCGCTTTGCCTGTCACGTGATGATGTCAGAGACAACATTACATCCTCTGGCGGAGTCTGTAGGGTAAGAGACATTACACTCAAAATTTTATTATACTATATTTTATATTCTATACATATCTTCTGACTTGCCTCTAGTGGTCCACAGAGCTGTCAATATTCAGACTATTAGTAGTGAGTAATTCCAGTGAAAAGGTGGTGTAAGGTTAGTTAACAAACAAACTTCCTTTCACATCACTTGACGGAGCCAAATCTCCAGGATAGATATATGGATAGATATATATATATATATTATATCTAAAAAAGTAAGGGTTCATGAACTCAAAAACAGCTGAGTGTTGAAATGGCACAGTGGCAGGGGCAGATCTAGAGAAATATTCATGGAGTGTCCAGAGGGTGGCATGGTGACTGTTAAGGGTTTAATCGTAATAAAATATATCAATATTTGCTTGGAAAAGCCCCCAAATGAAGATATTTAAACTAAAAAACATTGTGACACATTAGTAAAGCACTGAATAGAAATATCTAGAGGTGGCATTAGAAATCAATACATTGTTTTATTTCCAAATCCTCAGCCCCTTTCCAAATACTTTTACTGAATCTGAATACTCTTTTTTCATTCAACCTTCAACGACTAAATTAATTTCCGTTTTTTAACATGTTATTTTCAAAATAAATGAAATTTAACACATACATTTGACATCATTTGACACCAGACTGGAGTGGCAGCCGGGGTGACCGTGCATTTTTTATCTTCTAATTTGTATTCCTACCCAAAGATTAAACTCAACAACACAACTGTATAAAAAGTCGTTTTAATGCATACGTAATACTTACTGTATGTACTTCAGTAAAGAAAATGGAATTGAATGAATTAATTATATATATAGATTTTCTTTTTTATTGCCAGTCTGTGATTTGTTCATTTTCAACAGGGATCTTCTCACTCTTCCAAGACTGCACATAGCCACTAGTCACTGTGACCATAAAGGTGGCACTACTCTATAGAGGATATAAGCTACAATACAGTATAGAATTGAGGATTTATATCATATGTTATAATATTTGGAGAATGTTATAGATCCAAGATAAAACAGAAGGGTGGGATTGGGAGAGAAAGGCACAATCACAAATCCATCTGCTGCTTCAGCACCACGGACAGCGCCGTGGATTGCTCAATACACAGCACAGTGTCTCTCTGCTTATAGGGGATGGAGGGGGGGGGTCATGGTACTGAAGTACAAGTTTAGTTTTTTCTTTAAACCAAAAAAACAGAAAACTGATATATGTTTTGTTTTAAACCAACAACAAGAAAACTGTCTATTTTTTTCAGTTTTTCCAATGTCCATGAATAAAATCAAGTGGAACAAAGTTGAAGAATTGTTTGTTTTTGGTTTGGCTAAATTCAGCCAAATCATTATTCCATTTGAACCCCAAAACTAAATCACGTGGTACATTTGTTTTTGTTTCTAAATTAAAATTGATAAAACCAAATTCAAAGAATGGTCCAATTTAGTTGTTTGCTGTTTTGGTTTCTCACAGACAGTAGAATGGAGGGCAAATAGGAAGTGGATGGGAAGTGTAAGTTTTCAATAAAATTCAAAATAAAAGTACAAGGATCTATGTCCTGAGATAACTTTTGTTATGAATTGGCGCTATACGAATAAAATTGAATTGAATTGAATTGAATGTCAGATAGATGGATAGATAGATATTATCTTTTCTGTTCTGTCATTTAATTTTCTAATTCTGTTCTCTGGTGTCCCACAGGAGGGCATTCCAACAGTATTACAAGGAACACATTGGCTACTCCTGTCCCACTGAAGACATCTTCATTGAATAACACCTCTCCTCTATTCACACTATGTACTGAATACTCACTATGTGCTTGTAAGCCTGGACTTACATTGCAAAGTGGACCACAGATATATCTTCATCAGAGTACTTGCATGGTGGATTCCTTTTCTTGGCTGCATCCAGTGATACAGCGAGCTTGTCCCTCCTTTGACCATGTCACGATATAATTACCTCTATGGATGGATAGGATCACATGAGATGTTCCATACAGTGAGAACAAATGTAACATAAACCTACCCAAACTCAAACACAAATATCTGATAGTGATATATTTTGTTGGCTAAAGGTACGTAACTACACGCAGATAATGGATTTAAAACTATATGGACAGCCTTTCAGGACCATGGAGTTAATTTAATGACAGAATGTTTATATCATCAGTTGGTGACAAACCATGCTGAAATGAATAATCATTAATCAGTTTTAGCAGCTGATTAACCATTTGAGCTGCGTATCGAAAACCAGCAGTGCTTTGATGTCAGTGTGGACGATCACCAAAGTCATTAGGAGTCCTAATCTCATGACAGTCTATCCGGTATTTATGTAAGCCTGGAGAGGCAAGTGAGAAAAATGTTTGTGTTCCATTTTCTAAGTCTGTTCCTAATTGTTTTCTCTTTTGTGTTTATAACTTAAGAACAGTTGAAAAGAATTGTTTGCAAGGATAATTTTTTTCATCATGAAACAGGTGGAAAAAAAAAGTTTGGCAGGTGATTCTTTTTCCCATGCACTCAAAACCAAAATATTGTGTGTTATCAAGTTATTTAGCATTACTTCCATGTCTTTGAAATGTATTTAAATTGGCACTACGAGAAATTAAAACTCACCTGTAAGAAAACGTGAATGCTTTTATTCATTTTTAGATCTTGGGGTACCGGTGAAATTCAGCCTCTTGTGGTTGAAATGAGTATTACAACAACAAACACTTTTTTTCCACCCGTTCTTAACTCATAAACAAAGACAAGAAAACGTTTAGATCAGGCTTAGATAATGGATCACCAGAAATAGCCACATTCTTCTCAGGGCTACGTAAATATTTAAGTCGAGATATTTTAGTCTGGAACAATGTTGTACCGTCTTACGTTGACATCATCATTTTTATTTCTAGCCAGTGGTTTGCACTCATTTTGATGGTCACATGTAGTTAGAAAAGTGCATTCTAAAAATTCCAGTTTGCAAACTTGTGAATTTCTATGTAAAGTTGACTAAAAGTAAAAGTCTTGCATATTTTGATTTAAAATTATTCATGCGCCAAATGAACTTCTTTGTATAGACTATAAGTCAGTAACACAGACTACGGACAACCCTACGGAACCCCTGAGAGAAAAAAATATTTGTGTGATTCATTTTCTAAGTCTGATATAAATTGTTTTCTCTCCTTTGTTTATGACTTAAAAACAGTACCTTAGTTGTTGTTGTTTTTTTTATCTGAACACCAGGATCATTCTTCTAAATTACTTTATTTCATCTGTGAAAACAGGTCAAAAGAAGTTTTAGCATGTGAAATGTATTTATTTTTGTCAGGAACAAATGTTTGTAGTTGTGATACTCATTTCAGCCACAAGAGGCTCAAGTACAACACTACCTTATTTTCTAAATAGGACTAAAAGCATTTATGTTTTCTTCCAGATAAGTTTTAACTTCTCCATGCATTTTAAACACAAGATACATACAGTATATTGTATGTTAGCAAGTTATGTAACATCACTGTCATGTCTTTATTTGGCTAGAGAAGTATTCTAATCAGTACTAAGAAAAATTAAAACTTAAATGGACTCAAAACAGGATCACCAGATCCAGATGTATTCCTCACTTGCCGCTCAGGGCTTCTGTAGAAACATTTTACATTTTTATTAATAATTCTTAACTGGATATTTGGAATCATGATTCTGGTTGTATCCCATGCAATCACCATAGGATAAAACTGATCTACCAGTGACAACCAAATGACTATGAGGACTAAAAGGAAAGTTTGCACATTTTGAAATGAAATTATGCATGAATTTAAGTAGTAGGGAAAGTAGCTAAACGCAGCTACTTCTATAAGATTTGTATGTAATAGATCTATTTTACCTGTCTAACCGATAAAGTGCAATACAAAGGAGCATCTCCTTTACTTAACATTCATCCTTTTGACCAAAATAAAATTAGAATGTTGGGTGTGCATTCAGTGGGTCAGTCACAGAGGTGATCAGGAATACTGGGTATAAACTTCTCGTTACAGATAACCACAACATACACACTTTGGATATGATCATCTAAGAACAGGGCAAGACTGCATGTTGTGATGAAAAGAAGGTACATTTTCTGTCTTTAAATTAGCTTCATAACATGCAACAACAAAAGGTATATACAATGGACCTGCTTGTTTCTTTGCACAGATGAGGAACGACTGATGTTTCCCAAAAAGTAACACAAGTATAATTCTATATCTTATAACCCAGAGACTTGACAATCTACCGCTGAAGACCTTCGGAGTTGCTGTTAAGGTGCCTAATTTCTCTTTTTGCTGCTCGATGTTCCTTTTCTTCCAAATGTGGTCCTGACTACAAACCCTTTATTCAGGGTTCCTCTGGTTGAGCAATGACATAATGATTCCTTTAACTCTGTGTAGTAACAAGGCCTAAATGACGCTGTGCAATTTAGTATGTGTGCAACAGAACAGACTGGTGGGATGGTGGATCACTGTGCAGTCATGTCCAAGTCCGTCCACATCACTTTCAGCTCACACTTCTTTTGCGTTGCCTGCTCAAATCTTGGACCAAAGTTAGGGTCAAGTCGATGTGGAATACTTATTATTGGAAATGGAGCTTGTTTCAGTTTCTTTATTTAGCTTTGATATGTTTGAAAGTAAATACTTGGCTTTAAGACTTGACCCACAATCTGACTTCTTGTTGTCTAAAGGAGGATAATTCATTTTCCATGCAGCTCCTCCTTCCTTTTGCAGCCAGTAGAAGATAAGCTCCAGACTTAAAGCTGCACCAATCGACACTGTTCACAAATGGTCCGTTCTATGAAGACTTTTAGCCTCTTTTAGCTCATTGTTTTGGTTTTCCAGCACACAAACTACAATCTCATAAACCTTATTTCTAGCATCAGGCAGCTATTTTCAGCTAAAACAACAAGGTCTGATAAACTCGCTGTCTGCTGCCGGCCCAGCAGCAAACAGCAGTCAGACAAAGTGAGGGACTAGCTGGAGAACAGCTGAAGAGCCAGATATTTCTCTCAGGAGCACCAGACCAAAGCTACTAATAATTTTGGTTAATATTTATCTGTCATCTGAAACATGACTCAGAATGAATGCTAATGTTGCTCTGTGTCTGCTGGATGTGTAAGGAGACAGCTAGCTAACTAAGGAATGATGTAATGAATGATGTAAATAGCTAACTTAAGTAGTTTGTGTTTAGCTAACACAGATTAGCTTTCAGATGTAACAAGCTAGCTAACAATTGACCGAAATTAGCTAGATAGTTTGCTAGCATTTTGCTCTGTATATCTTTTTAACGTGCTGCGTCTCAAATCGTATACTGCCATTAGTACACTTCTATGTAGTACACTATGCACACTATGTCCTTAACGTACTTGCGTAATGTGTTTGGAACTTAACGATCGATAGATGGAGCATTAATGCCAATTCCGGCTTATTTTTCTGTGGATTTGCCTGCTACTATAAGTAGAAACTGCTTCTACTTTTAATAGCTATGCCCCCCCCCCCTTCATGTAGGGTGGAAATAACACTGTCGAATTGAATTGAATTGAATTGAATTGATGCCGACGCCGTGTACTCCTCCTACCCACGGAGAATGTACGTAGCGAAAAGTTCGAGTGTGACAAGTGTCCAGTGGGCCACACTCAACGTTTTGACCGTTATGAGTGCACCATCCATGTAGTTGCAGTGCGCTGCATGTTGCCACACTAATCAATGTGAACGCACTTATGTTATGTACTCAAAATAGTGAGAGTAAGTATGGAAGTATTCAAATTGTGACACAGCAAAAGACTGCTTTAGCATTAAATATATACCTAAGAGAGTTGAGGGTCAGTTGATGCAGCTTTAAGATCCAGGATTACATCTGCACAAGCAGTGGAACTATATGATGTAAACAGATTTGAGCAGGTAAAGTCAATGGAAATGAACCTTGAAATGTTTTGTGTTGGAAAAACAGTGCCTATTTTATTTAATTTTTTTCTGGTGCAGTGATGGTGACTGTCTTCTGTATTAACTGTTGACTTCAGATGTCTCCGATCACAGAATCTATTGAACAGCCAGTCTCATTCAGATGAGTGGTCATGTTGCTGAATATGACTTGGTACACCTAAGATGGCTGCCATGGAATGTTAAATAATGTGACTGGGACTCAAGAGTGAATGGTGCTGGTACTGCATTTCAGCCATTGTAGAACTGGTCAATATTACACCAGTTTTCTATGGGAAGAATCTAAGATGCTTGTAATGCAACATTTTGGTGAGATTTTGCACAAGTAAGTGGAACTGTAAGTCATTATTAGGATTGTAGTAGAAGTCCTAGCAACATTAATCGACATGGCTGAGAATCTTTTTTGTCCCATGATCTCACTGCTTTTGTAGCCATTAGGGAGGATAAAAATGCAAGGCAGAATATCTTATGTCTTAAATAGTCAGCTGAACCCTTTACATAGGACAAATCTTCTTTTTGACTAAAACTCCTTTCAGACAGCCATTATCTTCCATTACTTTCTGAATGGTATAAAAAGAATTAATTCAATTTCAATGGGAACCTGGAAGAAAGGAACATTTAAAGTCCTCATATGGTGTATTATCCACCATGTTATTCCATGCCAGCCATCCAGGGTGCACCGCGGGAAGTTGTTCGGATCCACCAGAAAGTGTCCTTTCTATGTATTTCACTTTTGTGATTCTAACACCATGGGGATCTACTGTACATGACTCATCTATATATATATATATCCTGTATAGATACTGTATGTATGTATGTTTGTATAGGAGTTATTATTGTATGCTGTTGGTTTGACCAAAACCTGGGTGTAACACCGCATGATATCGATGTTGTAAAATGAAGACGCACAGAAGATGGTGATAATGATGGTGGTTATTCTTGTCAATAAATCACGTTTACAACTGCAGTTAGAGTACATGTTCTTCAGTAGGAACCAAATCACCTTGTTTTTATTGAATATAAGTCAGTAACACAGGAATCTACAGAAGCCCTGAGAGGCAAGTGAGTAAAAACAATATTGTGATTTTTTCTAAATCTGATATTTAGGGGGCAGAACTGGACCCTCATTAAATTAGGGAATAATTTAAAAAATTATTTAAAATAGGCCTATTTGTGGAAAAAATATGTAATATTGGAGTTACATAAAAGCTTTGTATTTGTTTTCTTCCTAATTGTCCTTGAAATAGTGGTCTACCCTAACCCTAACCCTAACCCAGGATGAGACAGAGAGGAGAGAGAGAGAGATCCAGCTGCATTCAGGTGACAGAGAGAGTGATGCGGGAGGGGCCCCGCTGCCCCATCGGAGAGTCTGGGCAGGATGGATCAGAGACTGATCACACACTTCATTTTAGCGATCCTGCATTATGGCCAACTAGAATGACCGACTCTGATAGAGTGAACCTCGTACTTGTGATGGCAAAACCAACACCTTTCTCAGAGAGGGCAAAGGAACGCCAGCAGATGCAGAGGGCAGGGAACTCCCAAACTATTTGACATATTCCACATCCCACAACGGAAGGGATAAATTCGATAGGGACTGGATAGTATAGCAGCTCAAAAAAGGCCTTATTTTGCCTACCATGCTTGATGTTCTCCTTTGAAGTAGAGAAAAAGTCAACTAGTGCACTAAATTCCACAGATGGAGAGGAAGAGCAGAGGAGAGGAAGAGCAAGGGAAAATGAGAGATCTGGGCGCGGGGGGGCCCATCTAGGATTATCTCGTCCCGGGCCCAGGCAAGACTGTCACCTCGCCTGCTTCTAAAGCTCTGTTGCTAGCGGTATAGAGATACAAACACTCCCCTGGTTCTTTAAGCTCCCAGTCCAGGCAGCACAGACTGGCTTAGCAGTTTCAGTCCATCAGAAAACTCTTTAAATGGCAGATGACATTTTCTCCATAAATATGATCCAGTTTCAGCAAAATAGTTGGCCATTGTGGGAATGACAGAGGCACCAAATAATAATAATAATACATTTTATTTGTAAAGCACTTTTCATAAAAGAATTTCAAAGTGCTACAGAAACCAAGAAAAAAACAAAATAACAAAAAACACTAAGTGCAATAACACATTAAAATCAGCAACCATTCTACCTATTAAAACTCTGTTAAGCTGTTATTTTAAGGTAGAAAAGTTTCATAATGGGGCTTTTTTTAACCTGTAAAATGGGTAAACACAAGGTACGTGTATTGTGTGTTAGAAACTTATGTAACATTACTGTCAGGTCTTTCTTTGTGGCTAGAGATTAATTTTAATCAGCGCTAAGAGACAATTCCATATTTAGTAAATAGAATTATTAGATTTTTTTTCTTCCAATTGCCACTTATGAATTTCTGGCTATGAACTCAAATACAAGGTAAGTCATCATATGATAAAACCATATCCAAAATCTTCCTGTCAAGTCACCCATTCAAATCAGTTGTAAGTAGTTATTAACATAAATTATACCAGAAAGCCTCCATAGAGACAGAGGAAAACTATGAAAGGCTTTTTTAAAAAATGTGTTCATTGTGTCACTGTTGTCCGATAAAGGTCTGTTTTCTGTGTCTGAAAAAAGAACCCTGATGATTTTCAATTCAATTTCAATTCAATTTTATTTGTATAGCGCCAATTCATAACAGAAGTTATCTCAGGACACTTTTCAAATAGAGCAGGTCTAGACTGAACTCTTTAAAACATTATTTACAGAGACCATGATGTCACCATGATGTCATAACGGTACTCTGCACAGGAACTACACATTAAAATGAAAGCCTGTGGAACAAACAGCTTTTACTAAGCAGGGAAGGTCTAATGAAAGATGTTTTGGGTTGCATTGTGGGAAATGTAGGATCAGGTTTATTTGGAATTTAACCCATACTAGGGACAAAAATAAATAAATCAGGATATCTTCAACTCTGCTGCATCAATTATGACCATACTTTCTCTTAAACTTGTCTCTTGTGTGGAAGTGCAATACCAAGTCACTCCAAGACGCCATTTAACACCAATAAAATATCTCAGTGGGTCAGATGTCAGTCAGCAGTAACAGGAATCATCCATATAAGGCTTCACAGTTACATCTTTATTATTCACAGTGTGAGTAAGGATTACATTCACATATTAAACTTAATGTGGTTCTTTTCATCTGTAAAAAAAAAAGTAATAAATAAATGAGAGCTGACGCACAGCTCCTAAAGCTACTTTATTGGGGGTTTGGTGTTTTGTGGTATGGTATAATGCTTTTTCAGAGGAAAAGTGTAAATACTTCAACCTAGTGGTACTACTCATTACAAGCAAAGTAAATGACATTACTACCAATCAGTACTGAGGGGAATGCAAACATTTTGTTTGGAGATTCACAACACACTACAGCCGCACAGCAGTGTCATTTCACATGACCATGTGCAGACACATTATCAGGACCACACAGCTTACTGTATAACAATCAATAGCATCAACAGCAGGGGTGTAAGAAAATATCGATACACTTTAATATCGTATAGTTTAAACTTCTAGACAGAAGTGTTGGAAACGTAAACCGAGGGCTATGATGTTACAGGGACTGTGATAATTACAAATATTGAACTATATCGCAATGTATCGAATTGTAACCCCTGTATCGTGATACGTATCGTACGCACCTCTAATCAACAGTGAATGCAGAGTACTGCCCTGCATTATGATTTTCCTGATCCCACTTAATCCCTCACTGCTTTTCTGGAAATCAATGCTTGATAAAAAGAAGACAACTGTGTATTCTGTCTCAGGGTGGAGTGTTCTCTTGCAACAATGTGTGTGGGTTTACAAAGCAAATAATGGACTAGAAGGTTTGGCCGTGTGCCATGCAGCCACAGTGTTTTCTGGACTCTGGTGTTTCACAGAGTGCTGAAAGGTTAGAGGTCAGTTTTCAGAGGAGTCTGTCTCTTCCGTGGAGCCGTCGCTTTCCACCTCCATCTTCCTCCTGTGGTGGATGTTCCTCCTTGGGGAGGCCTTCCTCTGCACTTCTTTCAACCCCCCCACCGCACTGCCACTGCTGTTGCTGCCAGGACTCACTGAGATCTGGGCGATTCTGGGCAGCATGGCACAAGAAAAGAGATGTAAAGAGAAGAACAATGGAGAAGAAGAGAGGAGGAATAAAGAAAGAGAAAACAGAAAGTAAAGGAAGGAGATGAGGACAGTGAACTTCTCTCACAGTTTATCCAGTTCCTGGTCCATCTCTGGGTCAATGAGCAGCTCTGCCTTGCTGGGTAACGCTCCTGCAGAAAGAGGAAAGACATTTTTTTGGGACTTTTTTTGCCTTTATTATAGTGACAGCTGTAGATAGACAGCAAAGGGGGGCAGAGAGAGGGGGGATGACACGCAGCAAAGGGCCGAAGGGCAGATTTGAACCCGTGCCGCTGCAGCAACTCCATACATGGGTTGCCAGCTCTACCGACTGAGCTAACCGGGCGCCCAAGGAGGATTCAAGTTTTTAATGCTGTATTCATATTTTTTTATTAAATCAAATTGTTCTGTGTATAGGAGGCGGCAGCAGCTCAGTCTGTAGGGACTCGGTTTGGGAACAGAACGGTCAGACCACAATACAGAGTGTGGACTGGTAGCTGCAGAGGTGCCAGTTTCACCTCCTGTGCACTGCCGAGGTGCCCTTGAGCAAGGCAATCTGTCACCAAGGGGCGCTGCTAACGTGGCAGCCCATCACTCCACCATCTCTCTCCCTGTTGCATGTCCACAAGTGCATGAAGTGTGTATTTCAGCCTGTGTGTGTGTAAAATAAAAAAAGAGTGAAAAAACAATTTCCCCAATAGGGGATTAATAAGGTACATATCTATCTATCTATCTATCCATCCATCCATCCATCCATCCACCATCCATCTATCTATCTATCTATCTATCTATCTATCCATCCATCCATCCATCCATCCATCCATCCATCCATCCATCTATCTATCTATCTATCTATCTATCTATCCATTGTGAAAGGGGTCACTTATAGTGCTGAACCCTGAGAATTGTTGCTAAATCAGCCCCTGTAATCAGTGTATAATCACCTGAATATAGGAATCTTTGTGTTTTTGTTACCTTAGAATGAGATGTTTTTATCTACAGACGCTGTGGGTCGCCCTGTGTAATGTTAAACCTACCAATAGTTTGGTTGATGGCCTCATGTTTAGCCAGGCTCATCAGGAAGCTGTAGTAAGACACTTTGTCAGTCTGTTCCAGTGCTTCCCTCATACAGTACCTGGGGGGATAACTACACACACACAAACAGTCAGGTCAGCTAAAACACCCACACACACCCCCACACACACACACACACACACACACACACACACACAAACACACACACGCACACAACAAATAAGTGCAACAACAACTCTCCTGTATATGTTCAGACCAGGGCCGACATTTTGATGCCTTAGTCCAGGGAATTAATCTTTTCACATTCAAAAAATGGAATGATCAACTTCAGTAAACTTCTGGTTGTGTCACCAACAACACACAGTCTGCCAATTAGTACCTTTAGCATTTAGAATGTGGCCCTGGGCTTACAGCAATGGGTTAACCTGAATGCTCAACAGCCAATGAGGTGTTCAAAATGTACAAACAACACAAAAAAACATCTGGTCTGGGTGAGTGAGGGCTGGAATGTGTGTTGTACCTGCGTTTGAATCTGTCACAGAAGGCATCTATACACTGAGCCAGAGTGGACGGCTCCACCCCATCCAGCTGCTGCTCCTCCTTGTCGTTCTCCTCTGTAGTAACGGAGGGGAGCTGCTCAATGGAGGTGGACGTGGGGACGATGACAGTGTTAGGACTCTTCCCTGACAACAGATCCTGGTAGATCACCAGCACGCTGTCCAGAAACTCTACAGGCACATGGGATAATGGTCAGCTGGGAGTAAGAGTGGTTAAATTCGGGCGGCTGTGGTTCAGAGGTAGAGCGGGTCGTTCCTTAATCGGAAGGTTGTGGGTACGATCCCCGGCTCCTGGTGCCACATGTCGAAGTATCCTTGAGCAAGATACTGAACCCCAAATTGCTCCCGATGCCGTGCATCGGTGTGTGAGTGTGTATGAATGTTAGTTTCTGTTAGGTGGACTTTGCTATCACTGAGTGAATGTGTGTGAAAGGGTGAATGTGGCACGTAGTGTAAAAGCACTTTGAGTGGTTGGAAGACTAGAAAGGCACTATACAAGTACAGGTCCATTTACCATTTAAATCCAGCTTTTTGTTGCAAATGGGATATAACGGCTGACATTGGCTTTCATCAGTAATTAGATATAACTCCATGTGGTCCACTTTGAATGTAATGAATCTCCTCACCACCAGAATGTCCCTCCCTCCACAGAGAGCTGAATGAATTAACATACTGTACACAGGCAATATGAAAGCGTAGTTTCTGTTGTACCTTGGTAGTAGAACTGCAGCTGGAAGGCATAAAGGAAGTCAGAGAAAGACATCAGACAATCTATGGCGTCCTCCATCAGAACAATTCTACAGAAAAGAAAGAAAGAAAGAAAAGCTGTTAACATCAGTTTACAATCACGTCTACTGTCATACAGTTAAGTCCAGCAGTGAACAGGTCATTAAGGGACCTAATGGAAAAAATGTAAAAAGACTGGCCGTTAAACATGAAGGACACCGGGAGAAAAGACTGTGCACACAATGTCCAAAATATCAAATGACTTTTTGTTAGGTCTGTTGTAACATATAGCACTGTCATGTACAGTATAGAGCAGTAATTGATTACATCTAATTTGGATAATGTAATCAAATTACAGCACAGATTTGGAAAAAATGTGGAATTAGATTATAGTTAGATTGTCAAGGATTACTTGATTACATTTTTGATGACAGCTTTAAAATACAGCAATTTTAAATATGATGAAACTTTTCATGATTAATGAAACTCATGATATTCTATTGCTCAATGTGTTGGAGGTCAGAGTTTTCAAAATGGACAAATAGATCAATAATCACAGAAGACATTTGGTGTAATTTGATTTAAATGCTTGATGAATATGCTAAATTCATTTTATTTGCACTGAAAATGTTTTGAGATGTTTAAACGCACAATATGTAATTTCTGCCACTAGGGGGTCCCTCATCAAGTTTGATGACATTGTGAAGTAGTGATTCTGTTGGACAGACAAAGGACGTCCCGGAGGGGCTGCGAGCCGAGCTGCTGCTAACGTTAGCTCAGCCTGTTTCTCTGATAACTTAAGATCCAGACGTCCGATGACTAAAATCCTTCATCCGCTTCAAATCTAGAGTTAAAAAGCACCAAGATCTAAACAGTGGATGGTAACAATGTGGCTTCAGACTGAATCAACAGTCAATGTATGACAGCTTCTGACAGACAACCACAACGCTGACGCAGGCACAAAGGGGATATGACGCCATCGACAGGCGACCGGTGAAACGCAGCGTTACCTGAATAAAATGACAGATTTCTCCGAGTTTGAACATTGTTGGAAACATTTGTGTTTAGACATTTTAACGTGGAAATGTTACATATAAGAGCTTTAAAGAGAAAAAAAATATTTGTGGAACTACTTCCAATGAATCATGTTACTTACACATATTGTCATGTAATTTGTATTCAGTCACTGAATACATTTCAAAGTAATCTGACCCAACACTGAGTATACACAGTACAAGCACATGACAGTGACTACACTGCACAGGCCTGGGTTCACAGCATGCACTGTTGAAGTTGTGGTAACCAAACAAAGGTGTGACCCCGTTTGAATTTATGGACGAAGAAATCCTGGTCAAAGGAGTTTGTTGAAGTAATAAAAGTTGATCAGATGTGAAGATACTGATGTTGACACCGTGGCAAAGCGGAACCAACATTTGTGTTTATTCAGCAATACTATATGAGCTATCACGAGTAGAAAACTTTATGCTGTTTATAAGGTTCATTATAAGAAGGTAGGTCAACTCAGTGTATGTGAATTATTAAGGTTAAAATACCCTCTGCTCCACACTGTCCATCCAAACTCCATTCTAAAAGCAGTTGTTTTATGGTAGAGCATATTCCTTCACAGTAAAAACTTTATTTACACCACCACTAAGACTGTTCTCTTCAATCTACAGTAACAATGGACACGTCATCTACTCAGTAACATCATTGACTAACCTGCGCTGATGGACACACACTGACGGTCCGAGTACCTCAGTTTACATTTCTATCCTTGCTGTGGATTACCCTGATCTTTTCTTTCACTGTCCTTCTCTTTTTGGGGAAGTAAAGAAAGTCATACACTGGGTTTTCTTTATTGTTTGATGTGCAGTGTGACAGAGCCGCTTCTAGGCATAGTACCGCTAGGCACTTTTACAGCACTTGTTTCACCCAAAAGGGGGCGTGGTTGTTCTGAGGAAGAAAGTGATGTATGGCTGCTCTCATCTATACTGAGGTTGAGCTTGTTTGTTTCATATGTGGGTAAATATGTGTCATGTCATGTTTTCTTCTTGAATATATTGCGAAATCTAAAAAAAATGCATTAAAGGGGAAAGAGTGTTGTGTGTTGTGTGATATGTCGGTGTACTGACCTGGCTGCACTCTGCACCATCTCTGCTGGGAAGTCTGGACACAGTAACTGCAGCAGAGACCTGTACTCCAGCATAGACAGTAAGTCTGGAGAACAACAAGACATAAAGCTAATTCTAGTTGCTTAATATACGTCAGTGAACCACTGATTGACTGTCGAATCAACCGGTCAAGCCAAGTGGATTTTGCAACTAATGACAGTACACAAAGGGGACATTTATTTTAACACAATCTTAACACAAAACAGAGAAGTTCCATTCCAATTATGTTTGGCTCTCCACTCACCTCCACTCTTGCCGATCTGTCTGTAGCATCTCCAGAAGACTCTGATGAAGGAGGCTCTGTTATGAGGAGTGGCTCTGATGTAGTTATACTCTCTGAAGAGGACGTGGTTACAGTTCTTCACACTGCTGAAACTGCAAACATACACACAAAAATGAAAAAGACAAGCAAAATTACACCCTAACCTCAAAATTCATGTCATCAGTTAGCTAAAAATGATACACAAGAAGCACCAAAGTTTACTTCCACCAACTATCTCAGCTAACATGACAGCAGTCTATCTACAACCTGTAGATTCAGCACAAAGGCAGGAAAGGCGAGTGTGCAGTATACACTGCATTACGGGAAAAGCTTTTTACACCAAAGTGTGTTCAGATGCACTACTGTGTATTACAAATGATCATGTATTAGCACTGATTTCAGATATGATTCCTACAATGGAATTCAGCAGCAGGGGAGGAAGGATTCATATCCTATCTACCTATGTAAAAGTAGTGATACCACAGCGTAGAAATACTCCATTACAAGTAAAAGTTCTGACTTTAAATGTTAATTATGTAATTATAATCAGGTGAATGTATCTTAAAGTTACATTTTGCAGTAACTAACTTTTATAAAAATAACTTTTTGTCAATTTTCACTGTGTCCTGCAGATAATCTGTGAAACAATCAGCTTCCTCTGGCTCCTCCTGGTGCTCCTAATGGAATTTACAAGAATCCACCGGACCTGAATCAAAACAAAAAAATGGCCCCTGTGACTGTGCTATTATATACTGTTTATTCTTACTGATGCACTAATGTGTGAGCAGCATTTCACTGTTGTGGATGGCTGAGTTGGAGCTAATTGAAAAAAATGACTGATTACTTACTCATTATAGTAATTATCTTTATTGGTTGTAAATTCAGAAGAGTGAAATGCCCGTCACACTTCAGTTTTAGCTCTACTTGTCTACAGCGTTGGGTGGCTTAATTTATAACAAAGCATCATATTTAGTACGCTATTTGACAATGTTTTGTATGCAAAAATATTCATTTGTAAAATAAGCAGAGCTGTGAGATAAATGCAGCAGGATTAAAGAACAATATTTACCTGTAGTATAAAGTACCATGAGAAGAAAATACTGAAGTAAAGTACAAGTACCTCAAAAATGTACTTAGGTACAGTGCTTGAGTGGGAACTGTTGGGTCTCTGTAAATAATGTTATAAGGAGTTCGGTCTAGACCTGCTCTATTTGAAACGTGTCAGATAACTTCTGTTATGAATTGGCGCTATACAAATAAAACTGAATTGAATTGAGTAAATGTACTTAGTGACACTACCGCTCAGAAGTTTGTGGTCACTTTGTTTTTGTGACGTTTTTCCTCTTTCCTTCAATAATATCTATTACAAGTTCAAAACAGTATAATTTAGACACCAAATGTATTAGTTACATTTGAAATAAGTTTGGCCCCAGAAAATGAATTTTTAAATGATTAAAACTTCCATTTAGTTGATAATAAAGAAATACCATTAGTTTTGAGTGCGTTATCCAGTCCAGAAAAGGTTACTAAGGTTATTCAACAGTGCTAACCCTAGACCAAACTTCCATTTGAAGTTTTAAGATTATCTTTGCTGAAGCAACACACCTGTTAGTTCCAGCTTGTTAGAGCCATTGTACGCTTGACAATGAAACAGTTCCTATTTAAATCTGCACACATTGTGATGCTAAGCCTCCAATTTGTTTTACCAATGACTGCTGATTTCTCATGATCTTTAAATTGAAGTGCTGCTCAGAGAGTCTCAGTTTCTGCCCTTTTAGCTGTGAAGATATGGAATTGAAAAATGTTTGTATTAGTCTCCCAAACCCAATAAACTGAGTGTGCTGTCCAGACCTACAGAAGAGCCCTGCCTATACATTTAAACAGCCGACTGGATGTGTGTGTTGAGAGTCACATACTATTCAGCAAAGTAGCGGATGACCCCAAACTGGGTGTACTCCTCTTTATGCTCCAGCAGCTGGGTCACTGCATCACTCAGGTAAAATAACACATTACTGTCCGCTGGAGGGGAAACAAACACATGTTGTGATGAAAGGACACAGTCTGAAGAACTGGAACTGTTAGCCAGTCAGAGAGTTTTACAATCACAGTCAGAAGAGATCTGTGTCGTTCTAGTTTCTCTAGATAGCAATATCTGACCACTATGTATCGGAAATAGAACAATGGGGGGAAAAAAGAAAGAAAGACACAATAGGAGTCTAAAGTATGTACATTATAATAGAATATATAGAAGATATAACTTAAATATCCGAATAGATCGATAGCTCGCTGTTGTTATAAGAAAACACGCACTAAAAGGAGTTAGCTGTTAGCTGTGCACAGCTAACACAAACCTACCGAGGTATTCCTCAACGGGGGCGGTGGGAGTGAAGCGCTTCATCGGGGTCGAGCTGTCAGTAGATACCGCTGAGACGAACATGAATAAAGAGGAGCTGAGTGCACATATAACCGCTACACTGGCTAACTAGCTCAGTTGAATCATTCGTTTCATTTCTGGAGCCTGAGGCTTTCGCTAGCTATCCTAGCACTGACTGCTCTGACATGGTGGACTTCCATGGAAACGGCGGAATGTTGTGTGTTACATGAATTAAAGGCCCCCGAACAGCACAGCACCCAAAGGTTCCTACAATGTTTCCCCACACATAATAATAATAATAATAATAATAATAATAATAATAATAATAATAATAATAATAATAACAACAACAACAAATAAAAATAACCTTTTTAAGTTAGTCTAGTTAAAATATTTTCGTTTTTTGTTTGTTTTTCTTTTATCTTTTTTGTCTTCATTGATTCATTGGTAGGTATGCTTGACAACCATTGATAATGCCTCTTTGTTATTTTAAGAAGCTTAGTAAATAAATAAATATATATTATTTAGAAACATGTCTGTTATATTCAAGCCTTTTAGGCTAGTTGTGTTGTTCCTGGACTTCAGAGAGGATTAAATAAGGCTGTAATAGCAACACTGAATAAAGAAAAAGAGAATTTTTAATGCACGCCTATTTACAATGTCATTCAAAAACCTAAAAGGGCTTTTTGTACTCGAGTGGTAAGTATCTATTAAATCTGTATCAAAATAATTAAATATAATAATAAGATGAGGCACACATGTCTGCATCCTGTGTTGTTATATTTAAGTTGAGAACTGTTATTGAATAGTATGGTCCTTTTCTTGTGTAGATTGTTTTATGCCAGGATTTAAAATTCAATATAATGTTGTTGTTTACTGTTAAGAACTTCCTTTGTGTTAAGGCATCAGTGTATACACAACACATAACCAGACAGACGACAAGTGCAATTTCAAATGTAAAAGTGTCTTTTTTTAGTAACAAAGTACTATAGACATTGAGTTAAATAACCTAAACTGAGACTTTTGTCATATGATCTGTGGCTTTTATTTGTTTATTTAAAAATTTACAAATGCATTATATAAAGTTAAGTATAATAAATATGTAATTAGAATGACCAGCAGCCAGTCAAATCATGTAAGTAAGTGTAAAGGCAATACATGAAATAGACCAATAGTTGAAAGAGTTTCATAGTTACAGGGAGGGCTCTATTTCAGAGCAGCCAATCACATCTCTTCCAAGGGTAAGCAATACGGGGAATTGCCCAATCATCAAAGGAATTTCATATTTTGGGGGCGGGGCAAAGTTCAAATTCAACCAATCAATGGCTTTGTCTAGTGAGGAATAAGGAAGCTTATTTAACTATTTATAATGCAGAAGATGTAAATGTGAGAAGCCATTGTTTTGGAGACAATGTGAACCCCACATTCTGTAGCGTGTTCCGGTGGTCCCTAGTCTGGATTTGGGATTTTTCAGGCAGTGTCTCAACACAACAGTGATGTAGTCAGGGTGGTGTCCCTGTCCCCGCCCTCCTCTGTCTCTCCGCCCTTGGAGGCATTTCAAAAAGCTGCAACAAGTTCGTCATCCGCAGCAGTGACAGCTCCGGAAATTGGTGTCCATTTGTCTCTAAAATAAGAGCGCAAAATGTCTTAATTGCACAGAAAGATACATACATAAATTAAACTGTATTCCACAATGTGGATTTACGTAAGATGCTTACTAATACGCAATAATATGAATTAAATCGATCACTTTTGCCAACCTAGAAAATGTCGTAGATGTCAGTTTTATTTGGAACCGGAAGTTATGTTTTGTCTTCGCACTGGTAACGCTTGTATAAAGCTCGGCTGGGTTTCACCCAGTGATCCTACTATCAGCCACATCGACTGGACAGCCAGCATCGTTTTGTCTCCTAGAGACGCAAACAGGTATCCCAGCGATATAAAGTAATTGTCTTATTTTAGTTAACACTCGTGTTGGACTCTGTGCTAGCATGCTAGGCTGTTGTGTTTGAGTGGCTGCTGTATTGAAGTGCGTTGTTAGGCCTGGCTGTGTTGGCGCGGATGGAGGTTAGCTCGTAGCCTTGTTTCTAAGCGGCTAACGGCAGCTACTGTCCGCTAGCGAACACTAAGGTCTCTCTATGAACGTTTGCTGGACCTAATGCGTACATAGCACGTATGCTAACAAGCTAACGTTACATATTGGTTGTCAACTCGAGTAGTTTTTTTTTTTTAAAGCGGCTTGAAGCAGAATGAGCGGGTTAAGGTGCTAACCTAGCAACTGTTACGTTACTGTCGTTGCTAAGTCCGCTAGTTAATGGCGCTCATATGACCAGCTAGTAACTAACCACAGCTATCGTTAGTTAAGGAAGACCACTCCCAGTCTGGGCAAACTGGAAATAACATTGATTACAACTGATGAGAGGTTAAGATGGTAGCACAGGTTGCAAACGGTTGCTAACCTAAATGATTGTGACGGGTTGTATTTGAGCGTGCAGTCTAGGCTAACAGTGCATGGGGTGTCACAGCTGTCTGAGTTTGTGGACTCAAAATATTGAACGTTAAATATAAAGTCGAAATGAAGAGATACCTCGTATGTTCATTATTGTATGCAGTTCAGTCAGAACTGTGGCGGTTCACTGCTATCTCCCTATGCACAGGTTCAGTGCTTGTCATACTTATGAAACACACTGTAATTAGGATTACAACTGGCTGATATATGATGAGCTATCTATCTATCTATCTATCTATCAGTGTTGTAATATGTGTCTGTGGTTTTGGTTATAATATCATAATCTAACATACATGTGGTATTATTATTATTATTATTATTATTATTATTTTGGTCTTTAAAGCTACAGCAGGTAATTTTTATTAAAATCTAAAAAGAATAATTTCACTAGAATGCTTCGGAAACTTCAGTTTTCAAGATTGTATCACCCACTCAGTTTAGATTTTGTATGTTAGCAACAATAGGTAGTTGCTTGTGAACAATATCACACTGTCAATTGTGTCAAATACTGAAATCTTTCATTTGTCAGTGTTGCGCAACTGTACAGTTTCAGGATTGTGTCAAATACTGAAATCTTTCATTTGTCAGTGTTGCGCAACTGTACAGTTTCAGGATTTTGTTCCTTCAAGAGCCTGATCAATGTGGAATAGAGACAGATTTTAGATTAGAAAGGAAACATCAGATTACCCATATGGTGGCCTATGTAGTGTAATTTTATGTGGCTCTTGCACAGATATTAGGGGCGTAAGAAAATATTAATCATTATCATATATCGTTATTGTTTTGCAATATTTTGTCTTGTGATATTCGATTCTCAAAAGCACTGTATTGATTTTTGTTTTGGACCCTAACTGCTAGATAGCAGTGTTGCGAATGTAAACTGAGAGCTATGATGTTGGATGTTACTGGGACTTTTTGCTCAGCTTTTATGAATATTGTTGACAATTCTTCTAAAATTAGATTAAAATAAATCCCAATATATTGCCTTACAGTTTTGCAATGTATCGAATCTGGTCCCCTGTTTAGTGATGTGAATTTTATTGTCAGACTCTAGCCAATACACAAGAAGGCTGCTTGCTTAAACAAAAATCTTTTTATTAAAGAATATTTCAGTTATATATGTCTAATATAGTCTTGGAAGGGTATCTGCTCCTTAAAATTCAACATGTATGCACGCCTACCTTTACGAATAACCAAGGTCACATTGAATGAGCAATTATTTTTAATGGAGTTTGGTGCTTTCCCCATCTCTCACTTTTGTGTCACACATTTGTAACAAGTGTTTTTGAGTTTTTAAGGATACTGTTGTGGATTAATATGCCCATAAACTATTTAAAAGACTGAATTTGCTGAGTTTGCATAATTGCTTAATGTGTAAGACTGGCTTCGAGCTGACAGCACTTTGCAAGGATATGGATGATGACGTATAAAGCCTGTTTACTAGACTGGGTTGGATCAATATGAAATATGAACCTATAGCCTCTCCCTGTATGTGCATTAGACAAGGAGAGTGCATGGAAGTAAGTGAGTGACATTGCAACTGAAGAAGTGACTTTCCACAATTTGGTGTCTCTTATTGACAAAGACTGACAATACAGTGTCTTTGTGAAGCACTCTCACAGGACAGGACATTGAACAGATGGTTACACCAACTGAACCTGTACCTTTTTTTTTTTATTATTCTCTCAAGTACTGGTGGTGTTCTCAAATCCATTATTGGTTGGGCTCTAGTAGCAATGCCCTCACATTTGCCTTGTTTCAACAAACGGAAGTGCTCATATGTTCCACTTTACCTTTGACACAACTACTGAAGTGACACTTTGCTGCAACACAAACAAATATATTTACCGTTTTAATGTTTCCAGATGTTTGATATCAGGATGTTGAGCTGAGAACTGACAAGTTGAACGTTGTCCAATTAAAACGGACCCACCGCGGTGACGTTTTTGGTGGAGCTGTTAGTTTAATAGTCGACTTGGAAGAAAGCGAACGTTTTGACAATAAGCTACATCAGCACAACAGTGTGGGAGTTAAACTGGACAGCCCCAATAACCTCTGAATAGTTCTAGCAATTAGAATTGCAATGTGAGCGGCAACCAACGGGGGTGCATTATGTCGGCAGGATCATTTAAAAGGCAACCGTGACTACATTGTGCGTCTGCCCCATTTCTGATACCGTGGCGGCAGAAATTTAACAGTGGTGGGCCGCCGCTCTAAAATCAACATAGAGGAAACACTGTAATACTGTGACTACATCATTAGTATTAAAGAATCGCATTTAACTTTTTCATTAGTTGGTACATATGTACATCACTAAGTGTACACTCCTATATTCGTGCACCATAAGTAATTTGACTCTGGTAACTACCAGATTGGGTGTAAGATTGGCTTTAACAGTGTTTCAGCACTTTAATAGCAGGTATGATGTCATTTTGTGATGATTTTTAGGATTCACTTGTTCCTGCAACAAATGTGACTTTGTTTCCATAATGCTTTTGTTTTCCAGTTGAGTACCTTTTGGGGTAGCCCGCCCCCCGAGTGGCCGCCATGGGGGACGACAGCGAGTGGATGAAGCTTCCCATCGACCAGAAATGTGAACACAAGGTGACTGTTGTGTAAACCGTATACTGCCCTTGTGAGAGGAGGATGAGGAGGATGATGATGATGATGATGATGATGATGATGACGATGCGTAGTGTTTCCTTTTGTGT